GGCCTCTATTGTTTGGACAAGCTTTGAATTTCAAATTTTAGAAGTTATTTCTTTTATTTCTAACATTTCTGAGATTTATTATTTTAGAAATATTGCATTAAATAAACTCAAGCTCAGGTGTATCACATCTCTTTAACGAGAAGCTTAGGTATACAGTATTCCTGATTTTTTATTTTTGGAGCTATATTAATTTAGGACTAGATTTCCCCCATTAATCTTGCAGATTCAGACCCTAATCAACGGAGGCTGGAAGAGTTTATGGAGAAGTGTCACCATGTGCTTCCTTCAGTACCTGATACTTGCCACTGTTGGAGACAAGATACTGGGCAGTTTGTCTTAAGCACAAGCTAAGTTTCTATACTACTGCATATTTCCTTCTAAAAGATGTAAATAAGTGAGCTGACGGAAAAGTATGTTCCCACTATCCTTTCAAAGGGCAGCAGTTTATAAGATATGTTTCAAGGCTGTTCCGCTGAGCTGGCAATCTCAACCAATGTTGGAAAAGCTGCAGTGCTGCAAGTCAGATTTATGGACTACTGTCAGAACTAAGAGAACAGTCTGCTGTCTCCTTGGAGTACTCTTCATCTGTCCATCCCTTTTAAGTATTTTGACCTCTCTTGCAGAGTCACGACTCTGAGAAATGGTGATCACCTAGTCAGAGAAATGTTCCTAAAGACAGTACAGCTAATGAGACACCCACAGAAAGTTTTGAAAATGATTAGAAACTTTCTCTTGTTTTCCTTCTGTTGTTGCTCATGTATGAGGAGAACAGCTTTATACCTCAGAAAAAAGCAAATAAACAAAGCTGTATCTGAACATACTCAACTATTTCCATTACATTTCTAGTGGAAGAATTCTTCTCCACCTACTGAGAACTACATTGTCTGTGGATGCTTTCTACGACCAGGACAGACCTAGCCTGTTACCTAGCCTCTCCTCTTCACCTGCTGGGAAGGAAGGTGAACTTGAAACACTCTTACAAGTGTTTACTCTACAGCCAGCAAACTGTGGCATTTAATAAAGATAGCCCCACTTCTCCAGCACCAGCGTTAGAAACTCTGGTAAAACTAACCTAGTAAATCCTCATTGTTTGCAAAGAGACAGTGATAGCAACATATGGGTAGTGGCCGCTTTTCCTCATTGCTTGAGTAATATTTAGTCCAGCAAAGGCTGAACAAGCACCTATAAAGTGTATTTCAAAAACTGGTAGTACCAAACCTATACTGCTATACATAAAGGCAAGATAGTTGTGTCCTTGAGAAACAGCAAGCATTTAAATTCATTAATATTCATGCTATATTCTAACAGGAATAGCAGAACGGAATTTTCTTGATCAAGTTACTGAACAAATCTTCCAAGGTGCTGAAATGTAGGAGAAGAAAGGACATGACAGATCTTGGTATGGCTCAGCATATGGCTG